CCTCTTACCATTAAATACCACTTTAAAAAAAAGTAATCTCTCTTTTACACGATATATTCTCTCGACCACTGTATGACACACAGTATGTTAAGTTTGATTTTCATTGGAGAAGCTGGATCCTGGGCTGAAGAAATATTCCCTCGTTCACCAAGAGCATGTCAGAAATAGTCTCCTCTAGACTTGTATCAGCACAACCAAACAATAGAATTTTTTCAGACTTTGCATAAGGGCTCAAAACCAAGCAGATTGAATCCACTTTATCACGAATATGGGCAAGCATTTTCTTTCATAAAATCCTTTCGGAGAGGAGCTAACCCCACAACCTCATTATGATTGTTAAATCCACACAGCAGATAAACCAAACCTCAGCAAGGGTTCAGATTAGCCAAAATAATTTGATCACGATCAGTCAGAAGGTGAATTAAGGAATCTTTTGTTTTGCCTTAAAATGTCACGGTATAAACTGCATCTGCTCAGGAGCTGACTCACAAGACTCTCAGACAATAGGGTAGCGGGGGCAAGGAAAGGACTTGGGGAGATAACCTCCGCAGCCAGCCCAGGCCAGAGCATGTATGCTCATCAATTATAATCCAAGCTTTTGAATGCGAGAGAATAAACCGTTGGTTCGGCTTTGCTAAATCGAATCTTTTTGCTGGGTTTTAGAATTCGGAAATCAATACTTTAAAAGGATTTTAAAATTCATATTCGCCTTCCTTTTGACTCATCTCGTTCCAGCTAGTTCAAACACAAGAACATGGATGGTCAGCAAACCCTAAGCAGCTGCTGGCTGGATTAATATCTAAAAATCAAACTATTATCTACACTATCCAAGCGCCTCGGTTCAGAAAAATGAAAGTGGGACGTCTCATAATCTCTTTTTTTTTCTTCTTTTGTGCCAGAAACACTCAATACAAATGTCTTGCAATATATCAAACTTTTAGTCACTACAATAAGCCTTCAGGAAAGACAAGAAATGAGAATATTCTCAACTTTTCTCTAGATCACACAAAATGGAAAAAACTGATCAGCTCAGAGTTACTGTGAGTTTGGGGTAAGGAAGGAATATCAAGTAGACTAAATCTAAATCAGTTTATCTTCCCTAGTAACAAAGGATAAACCTTGTAAATACATCAAGAACATTCAAATTCTCAGTGGAAATCAGCTTCAGAAAAACAGTCTCTGTCAAAAATCCAGCAAGCATTGTTATCTACAAAAACAATCCATTATCATTTTCTGTATTTATTTAAATCATGGAAGGGCACATGGAGTTTAAATAAATGACTCCTCAACTTCTCACTCAAAACTAAAGCTTGTCCTAAGCTGTCTGTCAGGGAAATGAGAGGTGACTCGGTAACTGTCTTAAAATTGTTACACCCATGTAAATATAGTATCACCATTAAATAGTTGTCATACGTAAAACATTAAATAGTATTAAAATGTGTTACTGTAAGGCCAGATTCAACACCATTTGGTTTTTGTTACTACTTTGATGGGTGTAGGATCGGGGTTTTGCAACTGCTCTGCATATGAATCTAGCAAGAAAAATAACTATAGTAATAAACTACATGATAAATAGCAGCACTAAGTTACTGGAACAACTAAACAAAATGATAGACTTGCATTTAAAACTTTCCGCTGACATGACACAGGAATGATAGCACTGAATAGACACCATTGTTCTCTGACTGTTCCAGTATCTAATAAGGTTATTTAATGGGGCCGTTTGGAGTGAATGCACAGATGCAGTCATTACATTTACTGCACAGAGGACAGTGAAATTCATTAAAAACCCGACCCAAGAGGAGATCGTTCCCGATGCTGTGCAGGGCCGGAGGGAGTCCCGCTGCCCGGCTCCCCAAGGCAGCTGGGGGCCGGGATGGCGTTTGCTGAGCGAGGGCTCCTGCGATCTCCCTGCGATCTCTCGCCTGCCCTCCTGCCTGCTCAAACCCCCCAGGTACACCACGGGGACATTGCTGCCCTTGGGACTAACTTCTACCATCCTTCAAGTGCACTAACATAGGGTGCTTTGCGTTTTTTAAGGTTTCGTTCTTGCTCTCTTAAAGGGACTGGGGCTGTCGAACTAACATGGCGGGTGTCAAGCACAAAATCCTCCCCAGCTTGGTTTCTCCTCCTCTGTTTTAGGCGTTAGGAACAGGTCCCTTGCTGGTGGTTTTCAGCATCTAAAATAATATGAGGGACTGCAACAGGCAAGAGAGTAGAAGATATGAATTTATAACGTGTTTAATAGACTACGTATTAGCACTAATTCAATGAGCAGTAGGAGAAGAAATTGTAAATGACAAAGGCATTTACAGTTAACTGTCTAAGAGAATGCAGGGAACTAAATCATTACATGAAAAAGGAGCTCCTTTTCTCAACCTACCCTATTAAAAACCCCACTAAAGAGCCAAGGCATTTATTGATTGCTTTCTACTTTCCCACTGCTGAAACTAAGTACTCCTCTATTTACTTTGATTTAAAAATGCATTATTGTCTACTTTCTAATAAACCAGACAGTGGAACAAGAAACTCAAATTATTCTAAGTTTATTCTTAAAAGTCCGTTGGTGTTTTTTGGGTTTTTTTTTTTTTTTGAAAGACTGAAGGCCTTAATCCTTAAAAGCCTTTTTGAAAGAAATGTTACTAGATGCTGGCCTTGCAGCTGGGCCCAGATTGAAAGTGCACTTACATTTTTATGTTTAGCGCTGAAGGACTCTGAAGTTAGCCCTCGCACTCCACATAAAAGCTTTGGAAAGGGCATTCTTTGCCACTCGTGCAATTCATTCTCTAAGAAAAGGAAATGGAAAGAAAGATTTCATGTCCAGGGCCTTCAGGCCTTTGATCATTTGATGAACATTGGATCCTCAACCTGGGCCTCCAGCTTCTCAGGCCAGACAAAGAGGGCCCCGGCCGCACAGGCTGGGCCTCGGCTCCCGCCCGAACAAAACCTTTGGCGGCCGCACAGTGTGACAGCCTGGGAAAGGCCCACCTCAGCAGGGCTGAGATGCCCGCTCTGCCCTTTGATCTTTCATTTAAACCCCAGCCAAAGCACCAGGTCAGGGGATTTCGCGTCGCACACCCCCACGGGCAGAGGGGAGCAGGTCAAGAACAAAATGGGGGTGACCGATCTCCAAAAAGCCCTGTGACGCCTTTCTCTGGCCAGTTTCACATGACTTGTCTGGTATTGTGAAGCGCTAAGCCCACACTTAAAATGGAATTTGACATTACATGGTACAATGGAGTCAATAAATGGCATTCTTCAGTGCTTTTACAACAAAGTCAACCCTCCCTTAAGTGGCTGAAAGCCCCAAGCTAGAAAATACTTCTCATTTACTTCTTTATGCGAGTAAATTGCATGTACTTTAAATCTAGTTTTCATTATAGCTTCTCACTGCTGATGACTGAAATGAGCCGAACAAATACCTAACAAAGGTCGACATTAATTTTACGACGTACCATTGCTTCTATTTTTAAAGTCTAGGTTGTCACGTGGCATGTAACAAGCATTGGAAATATCTCCATATTCCTTCACAAAGTAAAAACCTACTTTCCAATGAGCCTAATCTCATCCCACTGAAAAATTTATTTTCAGTACACTGCTAAAGAGAAGACAAACACACAACTTCTTTTAACATCAGTAGCAAGTTCCACATGATGCTCATGGGCAGAAAATTAAGCCCATGTTTCACGAGACGTGTTAGCAGAATATGGAGAGAAAAAACACTGAACTCTTCTTTCTAAAGGGACAGGACAGCCCTGTGTTCAACAGATGACTTCAAAGTATGGAGTGTATTTTTAAAATCTATATAAAAATATGTCTATGTTAGAAGATTTGAAACAACTATAAAGTGATTAGAACTCAAAGAATTAAACATTGTTTCTCTATTTAAATTAATCCATTTTCTTTAAATACAAACACATGTGCATAAGGCCAGATCAAGGTGGCTTAAGAACTCAGCCTAAGAAAGGCAAAGAAATATTTTTTTCTTTATTTTGAAACTCACAAGATTTCTCTTCCTCTTAAAATGCAGTTCTATGAAACCGTGATACAAAGTTGGCCAAAGGCATGGGGAAGCAGTACAACATATACATAAAGTTGACTATGATGTCTTTTCAACATATGGTCAGGTTAACATGTCCACTTTTACCCTCCTTCCTTTTGAAGACAGTATCATAATTAAAAATTTGGTTTAGTTCTAACATACCAGGATTATTTCAGGGCATCTCAAGTACTTCCGACTGTGAACAATTTGCCAATCAACAAAAAGTTAAGGAATGGTCCCAATCTCTAGAGAATCTACAGGCTTAATTTTAATCAAACAAGCAAACAAACAACATTATATATTTATGTTGACAGATGATTTCCCACTTCGTAAAATTACATCTCACAAATAAGGAAACAAAGGAACAGAAAAGTTAAATAAATTGTTCAATATTGAACAGACAGTGGCAGAGCTGGGAATAGAGCATTAGCTGATTTATTTTCAGTCCTCTGTCCTGTTCACTACAGTCTTTTTCTTCCTAAGAGACAAATTTGTGGAACACATGAGGCCCTGTCTGGTACCATCTCTTCTAGGTGCTATGGTGGCAACGGGCAGCTACAAAAAAAGAAGTTATTGCATCTGACCATCGTGGCTGGGTAGGTGACAGTGGACTGGGCAACAGTCATGAAGCAGCCCAGGACGTAACTCACGTAACCACTGAATAAGAATTGTACAGCCCCAAGGTATCTTCTGAAAACTGTAATAACTATTTTAAATGATAAATTTGAAAATTTAAATACTTCTCAACAGCACAAACACCTGCTCATTCACAAAGCATTTGCGTTCAGGTTTGTTGTTTGAAATCACTGTGAAAATAAAACTTCAGAACATTCAGGAAAGACTACAATTTGACTCTAATTTATTCTCAGATTTTCTGTGAATATTGCTCCCCACGTTGTCATGGCAACACAAGCACATCTTTCAGTACTGAGGAAGTAACAAGCCTTTCGATTCTCACCTTTGGCCATTTTATTGAGAACCATGTCAATTAGAATGTAGGTTCCACTTCTTCCTGCACCATCACTGCCAACAGAAAGGGAAAAAGAAAAAATAAAGCCTATGAATGTGCATCTAGACTCAACATGAAGGTACCTGCCCTTAACGTTATACTGCTACACGTAGGGGGAGAGGACAGAATGAGGGCTAAAGTAGGGTACTGAGAGGGGGAGAAAAAGCTTGCACTGAATCAACACAAGCTGTTCATGGAAGATTAACTACTAGCCTGCATGGGTAACGGGTCTTTGTTTTGATTTTTTTAAACCAAGCTGTTAATGCAATAAAATAAAAGCATTTTAAACAACAGTGGAAAAGTGAGTAACCCTAAACCAGGATACTGCTTCTGTTCAAAAAGCGTATGTATAATGAGCTTATTGTCACTTCCATATGAGATCAAGAACCCTATAATAAGCTAGACCAGAACATTATCCAGAACAGTCCCCGAACGTTGCAGGTTGCATTTAAACACAGTGGTCAGAGGGAATCCATACAGAGACCTGCCCAAGAACCAAAATATTTGATTACTGAGGGACTACAATCTTTTTTCACTATACATCATAAGTGATTTGTTTTTTGTTTTTACGTTCCCTTTAAATCTTCCTTAGTTGTGACGACCAGAAAAAATATTATCATCTAATTCCTAAAAAACAGCTTTAACTTTTGTGTATCATCAGCCCTTCCTCAGAGATGTGAGCCCAGGCCTTGGGAGGCGGAAAGCTCCCTCATCTGAATGCAGCTTGTGTCCCTTTCAGAGAGCAACGTGTAATTGCCAGCATGATGCTCTTTTAGAGCTGCTGTTAGCAAACATAATTAAGACTTTAAGTAAAAGCTTTTTTTCTTTCCCTCCCCAAAATTTTTACAAAGGTGCATGTGTGACCAATTAGACTAGTATGTAGTTTTATTAATCAAGCCATTATTTTTATTGATAGCTCAATTTGTGTACAAGAATTAATGAAAAGAAAAATAATAGAACAGCATGGAGTGCGTTATTACATTCTGTTTACAGGCAGGCTATGAAACTTAATTTTTGTTAAGTCTCTGTAGACAGAGGTTTTTTTTCTTTCAGTTACTAGATCACTGCTTAGAGAAAAGGAGGTAAGGGTAATAATTTTTTTCTCTATGTCTATGAAAGGAACAAAGACACAATCTTATTAGTTAAGCTGAGTAATGAGAGACAAGGCAGCAATCAGGCCCAATAAAAACAAAAACTACTGAGCTGATGGTAGACATTTCCATCCATCACAGTAAGGAAAGAGCAAGAAACTTGAAGGCTCTTCATTCTGCACCAAAATGTTTCTTTTCTCAGGCCTCCTGGAGGCAATGCAAACAAGTCTGCTCCAGAGCGTTCACCTCTGCGGAGGGCCTCCATGCATCCAGTGGAAGGTGACTCCGCTGACCTACATGTGAGAAACATGTCCCCTACCTCCTCAGCCCCACCCAAAGTGGAGTGCCAGATGTCAAACAACCTGCCTATTAGCAGGGCTGTTTTCCTGTCTTCCTTATCTACACAAATATCTTCGATAAATAAGTGCAATATTTTCCTTATAACTCAGAAACTCCAACGGCAAAACCAAACATTTAACATTATTATGGTAAAGTTTTCCATTGACCTGCCGAATGGCTTTTGTGTGCATCTATCAGACTGTCAGGCCTAAAGACAATCTATCCTTAAAGGATTACTCAATCTCTGGGTAGGTTTCTACTGCCTGACATTGCCCCCTTCTCACCGTGGTCACTAAAAGCAAGCCACGAAGAAATAACATAATTGAGCATTAATAAAATAAAGAAGACTAAATTGGGAGGGAATGCAAGGAACAACTATCATTCTGAAGGAGATTTATGAAACTGAAGTGCTACTTATATTGGAAAGGATGGCCATACATTGTTAAGACATAAAACAACATCTATGAAATCATAGGAAAGAATAATTTTATTATCAAAACAGATCTTTAAGTGTTAATTAGCATTAAAGTACAGTTGAACTGTGTTTAATACCTTCTGCCTATGTCCCTATCTTTAGTGGTTCATTGAAAACTTTAATTTGCCCATTTTGTTTATATCTATATTGAATTCTTACACATACAAATCTCTCTAAAGCTATTTCAGAAATTGTACTTGCCTGCAATGAACAACTACTGGACAAGAGCGACCCCTGTAGCACTTGTTTACTTTTCTGAAATAAAAAAGACACAAAAAATTAATTAAGCATATGACATACTGTTTCTTTAGCCAATTGTCAAAAATAAGCAATAAGAAAAAGCAAATATTGCAGACTTCAAAGAAACAGTCAGGATGATAATTTCCTAACAAGCAGTTGTTACATACATAATCTTGTTTAAAGTTTGCTTCTGCTTTGCTGCTGTAGAAATCCCAGAAAACATCCCGTTATTGCTGCTGGCTAGGGGAAATAAATTATCTCTTTTCTCAAAAGTCTCATGTCTTAGCTCCAAAACTAAGATTATCTTGAGATACTTTAATTTTAAAGGAAACTTTGAGTTCATGAGCTTGCTCAAAGAAATATCGAGGGGCATCAAACTGAATCCAAAATTAAAATGGCAATTCCAGTATACATCGTGCAATGTGTGCTGATTTGTAAAACCAGTTCTCTTCAGAAAGGCAAAAACTGAATCTCCTGAAAAGCTTCTCAGAAAATTTCTAAAATGTAATCTATTGTGGTGAAGATAACTAAAACCATCAGTAAGCTCTACTGCTTTGGTTCTACTGCAAAAGTCTTACATATTTAATATTTACACATTATTGTCTTCTCCAGCTTCCTGGTTAAACATTCTCAGTGTCAAGAGAATATACATGAAGTCAATCAATAAAAGTACAGCTATAGAACAAGTCTGCTGATATGCAAACTCAATGAAGCAAACCAAGATACTCAGTCTAAGAATAGAGCCCACAAAATTGGTCTAAATCTATTTAAATTGCCTTACAAAAACCCAAATCCCAAACCCTCTCTTCTGCTCTAGGATATATTTTGCATGTCAAGTAAGTTACAGGCCCAAACCCCCATAAAATATGCACACATATGTTAACAAGGCAAGCTGAATAAAGGCTAAAATGGGAAAGCATTGCTTCAAGAAATTCAATTCATTCAATTTCCTTGATGAGATGTTTGAGTTTACTGGAGCTAGAAGGTCTCCTCTAAAACCATTTCACAGGGCAGCTTTCAAGGAGTGACCAGACCCTCCAATAGTCCCCAGCTCAGCGCAAGTGTTACACAGGATCCTGACTGCTAAACTGAAGTGAGCTGCTGGAAATTGGCAACTGTGGTACGATGTTATTATGAATTTTAAAGCATAACTAACCTACTGAATCATTTAGTTCTTGGCTGTTCATCTATTCACTAACATCTGTGCTGTGAAAACATGCATATATCTTTAAACATTGCTTACAGTATAGCCTGAAGGTGCCTAAACTTCTAAATCTGACAGGGAGTCGGAATACCTGGAACTCAACCCAAACAGGCTACGGAGATGGTGGTGGTGTCCCATGAAACCGTGTTTTCACATTCTGCTTTTTATTATTTAAGATTCTAACCAAACTTGATAACAATATTAAGTTCCTGTAATGATTCCTTTTAAACATTAGAATTCAGGAATTTTTCACAATTCTTACTCTTTTGTTTACGGATATAAATCATACTTGCAGAGACATTCTGTCTCTATTTATAATCCTTGGATGTAAGTAATTAATTCAGTAGGAAACTTTCTATGAAATAAGTGATAAGTCATTGAGAAGCACCTGACTTTAGAAGTTAAATGGACCATTTATATGTCCATAGATGCATACATACACAGGCACTACCAAGAGAAACTTCAATGACTTAAGCTGCAGTAGAGTTTACACATGAATGAATCATCCAGTTCTTGATGGTCAGATCTGAGGATCAACTCCTTCTATAGAACAAAAAGCCTGATATTTATTTTTCATATTGTATAGTAATTATATTTGAAATGTCTGTAAAAACATCTGATACAGTCGGTCTTCATTCCCCTACATGCCGCTGGTCATCCTGCCCCCTCCCCACCCCCCCATCATGTGCGTTAGTAAAGAGTCGTTCCTGCATTTAAAGTATTAACTAAAAGCTAATAACTAGAGAGGGGTATTTACCATTTCTTTTTCTGCTTATGTGGTTCCTTTGTTCCTTGTATGTCACCACTATTATGATATTTGCATGTTGTGACTAGCCACCTACCAAAGCCTTAATATAATTTCAATGACAAACTTGATCTAAACCTATCAGTAAATCAGTGTTTGTCAGTTTTATTGAAGGCGTTTCAAACATTTTCATTATCACACATTTCAGAAAACACATTAAAACAAAGGGTTTCAATCCAGCTGGTTCATAGCTTTGTCTATATATAGTTTATGAGAATATTTAGAAGTGCAGCAACATCTCATTTCATTCTTAGTTCTGGCTAATGAGAGTGAGCTGAAAATTCATCAGTAAGCAAAGTTCTTGAATGTTGAAGAAAATATATATTTTATATATATATACATATACAGGAAGAATTAACTTAGAAAGAATGATTAGTAATACAAACCAACCCTTGGCTCATTGAGTGAAAAAGAAATCATCATGCAAACCATCAGCAAGCAAAGGTCAGAGGTCGTTAGAGGCTCAGAAAAGGGGTTTCCCACATTGTCCCTGCAGCAGAGTCACAGTTTCCAATGATCACTTTTGTGACTATGCAACTGGGCTCATATTACTAGCTGCAACATCACAAAAATGACACTGGCAACCGCTAATTAGCTGGCAAAATAAGAATTTGTCCATTTTTAAAGTGAGCAGTGTTAGTAAATGCCATTGCACACAGCAAGAAGTGATAGCATAATAGATATATATTTTAAGCAAAGCCCTCACATGTGATGCTAATTATCTTTTAGCTTAGCAGTCCCTCTTTAAAGTGTAAATGTGCTCCCTCTGGGCTCAAGAAATATTTAATTACACATATCAGTGCATGACTAACAAGCTAGTCCAGAGCAATAATGATTGGTCTATTGTTCAAAATGAAATTAGGACTCCAGAAGCATTTAAAGCTGACCAGTGGTTTCTGTAGTAGCCTCACCTCTCAGGGACTGTCTTTTGTGCAGATTTTTTAAATATATAGAATAATCTCTTTTTGGCAATTTATACCTACATTATGAAAGTATGATGGATTATTCCACAAAGTTTACTGTATCTGCTAAATGCAAAATCATCTAAAACATTGTCTGATACATAGTAAGAAAAATGTAAGCTTTCGGTTTTCAAAGAGACTTGCAAAATTTACTTCAATAAAAATTTCAAGGTCCATATTTCCACAGACTCTGGGCAAGGTAATTTTGGGAATCCAATTTTTCTTGGTGATGAGTTATAAAAAATAGAGGGTTGGTTATGTATATGCTTAATTTCATATATGTATGTGAATATATAAATATACACACATATCCATACATATATATACAAACACATCGAATGCACATCAAACCATAGATAGATTAAAAGAAATGAGAGCAGCCCCTTCCTAGCACTACCCTGCTCCCAGTATGGTAGCGCTGTTAGATGTTTATTCTGGGGGCTTTAAGACTCAGCTGTCGTAATCCAGCGGAGTTTGTACTTTAAATAGGAAGCTTCAGGTGGAAAACATATATTGTATAAATGAATTCCAAATACATTATTTCAGCAATAGTGCATTAGGTTTTTCTGTCGTTAAAAAAGCAACAACATCAGATGACCAAGAAAACTGAGATTCACAGACCAGCTATTGTGCACGCCAAAATTCCTTTTCAGGCAGAATTTTACTATGCATTCAGTATTATGAGTTCATTGTACAAAATCTGCACGTAGCAAATGATTACAGTACCCTACACTGGACTGTGAATACATATTAAATGAACACTCAGAATTCAATTAAATCTTAACAGGTTCATTCCCATACTGGCTTTAAATACAAAGAATGGCAGCTCCACTACTTCTCTCATCTAGTTATAATTTTTCTTTTTCAAAGTATTGCACAACACTTCTTCAACATGGCTATTTAACCCTTACAGAATGTCACTCTACGCAGTGCTTTCTTGGCGATGTGAACTGTGACTTACTGTAGACCTAATCCTGCAGTTCACGCAGGGACCTCAATTCTTACAGAAGCAAGTTGGAGTAGAGGTGCTCTGAACTTCGTATGTCCTGGCTGTTCAGGCTCATTTATAGCCTAGTTAGAATTGCTAGCAGATTTCCCACTAACTTCAAAAAGAGCAAAATCGGACGCTGTGTTGGCTCCATGCTGCAGCCTCGCACAGCTTAATGGAACCAATTCAGAATTTTCACTACAGAAATTCACTACAGGCAACTTCCACAGTACTACAAGCAACCCATAAAAATCACATTAAAGTTTGAACCCAGAGAAGAAAACCTTGAAAACTCAATTACAATTTCAACTTCATCCTATGGCCGTTCTTCCTTCCTCCACTATTGCATTTGCATTGCGAGTCTGTAGCGTATCCTTATATTCTTACCCCGCCATAGCTCCTAGTGACTCCGTACAGCTGCACTCTGTTATTGACCTGTACCACATGAGATGACTCTCTACTTTGAAAACCCTTGCAAGGAATACAAGAATACTGATGGATGAGGGGTGGCATTTAGTCCTAAAATTTTAAGGGTAAAATGTTGCCAACTGGGCAACCAGCTCCCGTTGGTTGTACATCGGCTTTCCCCCTCAGGGGCAGATGCATAACTCTGACCGGATTCAGTCAGAGCTCCCAGCACTTATTGAAAGAAACAAGTTTGGACCTTTTGAGCACCGAGCCCCTTATAATCACTTTGGGGGTTTATAGATAATATTGTAGTGCAGAGAGGAAAACACGCGATCCCACAGGCCGCTTGTGGATTGAGAACCAACTCCCCAAACCTCCTGGAGATTCTTTTCATTAGTCATAAGCGCATCGCTGTGGATTAGCTGATACACGCTAACACCTACACACGATGCACTGGGCACGGTTTGCAATCAAATGAAGATTATTTCGCTCCACTATTTATCATGCATGGCTTTAATTTTCAAATTAAAATTTAGATAGACACAGCAAACATTAGAGAAGGTGGCAAGGACTTTCACAGGTTTTGTCTTTGTATATTTGTATTTTAAAGCCATGTTGACTTTCTTTAAAATTCCAGAGGGTATGCTTTGCCAACATTTTCATCTGCTTTCTTAAATTTCCACCTTCCTGCAGCCAAAGAAAGTCTAGAGTCCTCACTGTTTGAACTCCATCGTGATTTTTTTTTTTTTAAGTGTGCTCATAGAACATAATTTATTTGTGAGATTCCTGAAATAAGAGTCATAGGGGAGCCACACAAAAAGCCTGGAAGTTGCAGAATGGATAAATACTTGGGAAACAAAGAAATACAGAAGCACTGAACAGCCGTACAAAGGGAAGAAAGGTGTCGATCTCTAAATGGGAAATGTGTATATCTTAAACCCAGGCAACATCTATGTGTCAGACAACACTAAACATCAACCTACTGCAGATTTGTCTGTTAGTTTAGTGTTATGGCATCCCAGGCTGAGGACCCCCCCTTTCAAACCAGAAACATTTAAAGGACAATTAGAAGGACTAGTTTAGTTCCTCAGATGTGTATCGTCTTAAATGAACTGTCATACTTTGTGCTTTACCTGCGGAAATCCAGAAGTGATCTTGTGGAAGCAGGAACCCTCTGATCGTTCCAGCTGAGGAAGTGGAACTGTGTCACTGTGCGGGTCTCATTCGTCTGCAGGTTCTTCAGGTAGAAGCTCCTCACGAGAAAATCCTCACACCAGATGTGCTCAGAGACAAGGTTTACCTACACCCCAGAGGAAGGAACAAAAGGAAATCAGGAATTTCAGTTGCAAGCCACATTTTCAGGATTGCAGGTGTAAGATGTCTGGGACAAAGGAATTGCACAAAAGTTTTGTTTCTATTAGCAAATTGGCTGTTGCTGAGAAAATGTATTTTTTTTTTTTAGTTTAGCAATCAGTGCAGTTGTCAGGAAGGGCTTAGCTGCCACTGCTATTTTATTGAAAACATAAAAAAAGTTCTCGACAGTTTTAATGCAAAAGAAAAAATCACTAAATTGAAACTTTATATCATTATATGAATAGAAAAGATGCTGCCTGAAAATATGTTGGCCTGCCTGTGGCTTTCTACTCGGAAATGCCCACAATGCATTGTCCAGGCCCTTCTCAGTGGTCTTAAAAATCTGAGTTGAATTCCCATGAGAAGTAAAAAGTCAGTTTCTTCTGCTGTGTAGAAACATAAACATTAAAAAATGCAGCTTATTTGGAGAGTTCATCTTTTCAGAAAATGAGTTTGTTCACATTTTATTTTAAATAACTGCATTTCTTCACATCTTCCTGTTCTTCTTATCTGGCATTGTGGTAATATTTTCTTCCTCTGCTCAGCTGGACAACTTGAAAAATCTGACAACCATTATCAACGGTACATTTTGACAAAACTGGTGATATGATATTTTGAGCTAGAAATGTAAAGCAGAAAAAAAATATATATTTATTATTGTGGCTGAAGCAAGAGGTAAAAATAGATAGCATTAATTGCTACAGCTATTGAGGCTTTTCTGCAAAGACATACATATGGCTTTCCTGAGGCAAAATTCACTAGTTCTAAAAATACTATTTTCCTATAAAATATAAATACATGGTTTCACATTTCAACCACTTGCAAAACCGTTTGAAAAACAAAATTGTTGTCCTTTTTTCATTGTAATACTTGGCTCATTATCGACTAGATTTTATTCAGCGGAAACTACCTTGCTATTAAAACCACGCTCGAATTTTTCACAAATCTAAAACTACCTGAAGGCACACGAAGAGTATTTAAGAGCCCTCGGCTCGACCTCCAGGTTAGATTGGCTTAAACACCATTTTGCCCCGTAGGAAATCAACCCGGACACTTACTGTCACGTTTACAACCAGATATGTTGTTTAGGTACCTCATAGATGTGGTAGAGGTTTGACCCTTCGTCTGGCCAATAGTGGTAGCACTGTTTGACTCCGTTTTCTGTGAGGGGTGTCAGCATGACAATAACGACACAGCCGTTCTCCCAGACCATCTGCAGACAAAGAAAGACACCGTGGCCACATTGTGACTGCCTAATTACTGCGTGACATGTATAATTACTGCACTCAGACACACAATCAAAATTTATTCCATTCACAGGAAATTTATTTCATTTTCATTAGACACTTTTACTCTGCAGCTGCTTTCAAATCCCTGAATAAACTGGCACCATATTTTGCAGGCGTCCATGAAATATTAAAGAATTTCCAGCGATTTCATTTTGGGTCTTCCACAAAATCTCTCCTCGTTCCTGGTACCGTGTTCAGCTGCTTTTCTGTTAAACTTTTAGATCCACAATGGGAACGCTGAAGGATGCCTGCAGAACACACAACTATTTGGGATTCGATATTTATTACTAAACAGCATGGGCCTACTGAAGTCACGCGTACTGAAACCTGTTTGTGTCCTCAACCCTGTGTCTTTTTGCAGTTTGCCATGTAGCAAAAGCTATTGAAGTGCTGCATTGTTGAAACAACCATAAAAGTTGCATCTGAACAGTAACGAGGAAAAAGCAAGAAAAACACGGAGCAAAACTGTTGTTCCAGAAACACTTCAGAGGGACAAATTGTCCCTCCAAAAGCACATTTATAAAAGATTTGTTGCAAATGTGCATTACTTTCTCTTTCTTCTTCCTCCTTCCTTTCTTCCTTCTTTTTTCTTTTTTATTTTTTTTCCTTATGCATTCCTTTCTTTTTCTTTCTTATGTCTTTTCTTTTCTTTTCCTTTCCTTTTTTCTTTTATTTTTCTTTCCTTATTTTTTCTGGTCTCTTCCCCACCCCCCCACGCCCCCTTTTTTTTGTCTCTCTCTCTTTTCCCCTTTTACTTTCCTTTTTTTTTTTTTCTTTTTTTTTTTTTTCTGGAGGTAGAAGGAAAGTCCAACTCCTGCTGCAGACCATGCACTCACAGAGCACAGGTACAGCAGGAACAGAAGAAAACGGTGCATCTTCACTACCAGCATGATTGCTTAATAATGATTTAGACCAGCTACAGAGTAGGATACAGGAATCCAGCGCATCCTCAACTAAAGGATTTGTGGATGTCTCCCACAAACAGCAGAACAAGCAGAGATGCTCTGGTCTGGCTTATCTCTGTTCCAAACACAGCCTGTGGCTGAACAAAAAGGCTCCTATGAATTAATACCAAGCAGCATAATCACTAAAAACTGTTATTATTATGCTGTACATTGATGTTATATTTGCATACAACTTTCATTGTCTTTTTGCTAGCATATAAAATTACTGAATGAAGAGTAAACTGCTCTTTTTGTGAAGGGTTATGTTTATTTCACAGAAATATTTATAAGCAACTGTATTGACATGTAAATTTTGTAAACAAAAAAGGCCTTTGTCTAAATTGTGCAAAGATGAGATGATACATTCAATTCAAGGATTATTTTTTTTTTAATTACATATCAAATAAAAAGGTTTCCCATTCATGGATAATGATGTTGTCTTCTCTTTTAAGAATGGCTTGTATATAGAGAAACAAATAACATTTTTCTTCCTTTTTTTTCATTTTGCAACATAATTAAAGCAACTTTTAAAAATAGCTTAGAATTATTTAGAGAAATGAACCTAGGGTTTGCACAGAATAGGGTTATTTATAATTTTGAATAGGAGTGGGGAAAAAAATTACAGTTGAATGTAATGAATAAAAATAATCTTTCTTATCTTTTCTCCATTTACAAGATTTTAACTAAAAATATCTGTAATCCACTTATCCTCCTGTTAAAACTCACAATGCCACAAAACCATCAAAAATACTTTAAATTGAAAGATAATTTATTTTATAGACAGATGCAGATTTATCATTTGTTTCTTTTCTGTACTGCATTTGTTTTATGCCACAGCTGGGAACCTTCTTTGTATGTAAGGAAGATGATAGAGATTTCATTCATTCTAATGTAGTTTCACCTTTTTTAGTCAGCAATCAGACTAAGATAAGAATTCAAAACATGTATCTTACTTTAAAACTAGCCCCACTAAATCAGTACTTTCATCACATAACGATTTAATGTGCCTCTAGAAGGTATAGAAGCTCATTGAAGCCATTACGAAAATGAGGAGAAACACAGTTTTTATGAGTGTAATAAAAATACAATGATCTAGACCATAAACTAATCATCTAGCACTCTGCTTGTGCCACCCAAGTGTAACATTATAAAAGCCCACTCGTTTAGAGAGGAATCCTTACAGTTTGGCAACCCTGTTCATTGGTTCAAAGATACAGCATTTCATTAGAGAGGGGCTGTCTGCATCTCTGAAGATTTCATTAAGCATAAATCCAAATGAAAGTTAATTTAAACAAACAATTTCAAAGTTACTCTGGGGTATAATATTTCTTTTAGGTCATTGTGCGAAAACGTAGAAGTCAAATCTACTAAATCAAGAAGGCAATACAATCTAGTGCCGTCATCCCTGTTACAAGCAATTGTCACTGCATCTCCTGCGCTTACCATCGGGAGGGGATTTTCACTAAGACTCACGGCCTGTGACTGCAGGACTACAGCATTTTCTTTGTCTCTGTGATAACTTAAGTATTAGACCATCAGGCTGTTATCTGGATTTCTTTCCAAATAACGCAGAAGATTGAAAGGCAGTTCACAGAGTTTTATACTGTTGCCTGCCCCATCTTTAACTTGGTGATGGGTTTTTCAGAAGCCACATCTCCCAACACCTAACACTTCACTGTGCTGGGTGTCCAGACGTGGCCATGTGCTAGAAAGTGTCCCCAAGGAGCATGTCTTTGTAATTAATGGAGGAACAGGTAGCACAGACCTGGTCTGCACAATCCCAGTACAGCCTTTGGAGAAGGGCCTCTGGTTACCAAAGAGACATTTCAGCTGGGCTGGCTGAATAAAAGAGGAGGTTCAGTTGCAAATTCACAGCAATTAACGTAATTCTGAACTTTGTATTCCTTCACAATAGAAAAGTAAGTCAATGCATGCGATACAAGAATAAAGAGAACATAAGGTCCTCAGGGCAGAGGCTTTTCTTTTTCGGTAGAGCCCAGCAAAATTAAGCCTTAGACTCTAAGTGTCTATAAAAACTAAATATATATAACATTATATATAGAAAAAATATAATATAACATAATATATAAAACTAAACTTATTTAGATCACTTAGCACAGGCAGTTTCATGTTTGTAATTTATGGTAATACTTCCAGAAGAAGTGTTGAATAGAGCCTTCTGAATTGAAGTGATAAAGTCTGAGTTACGTATAGGAGCTCACTACAGAGCTCTGCAATGCTTTGCCAAAAAGGGAAGACAGTATATAATTTTGTATGACTTCAGCCTATATGCCTAGAGAGTAACATGTTAATGTTCTTTAATGAGGTTCTGCTGTATGCATCATTCTCAAAACATTTCTTAGACAAGAATAACACTATCCCTTTCCATTTATTGCAAACTAAAGGATGAATCCTGCAACCCAAAGATGAGCAATGCGTTTGACATCCGCAGGATTCCCTGTTGATGAAATCCACCACGTGTAGAGACCTCATGCTGTGGTTATCTAGCGTGCCAGTCCCCTACAAAGGACTTCCACATTGGAATGAATTATATTTAGTATGAATTGCTTGCAAAGGAGCACAGAATTGGTTTTTCAAGTAAGGAGAAAAATAAAATCACAAATAGGAGAATCAGTGCCACAACACTGCCACAAATCCAATAAAACACCAGTTTTTGGAAGTTTGTATTTTAAAATTTCCCTGTTTACTTGCTTCTAAATAAAATGGTTATATGAATTCCTTTATTTTTTCAGACACTTCATAATTTCTAACTTCTTTTTATAATGAATGATCCACCCCAAACCCCTTTTTCAGTCATTTTCGTCTTTAGTTTAGTGATGGGGAAATGACAAGATATGTGCTCCGACTAGACACTCTTCTTTTGACAAGGACTGGTGGAGAAGTTTCTAAAATGTGATGATTTAGAAGTAGAAAATAGATAGGATAATCAGTTAAATCCAGCCTGTTCACTAAAAATAACAGGCTAATCACACCAGCTGCATTCTGGAAGAGATCTCCAGTAAACTGAAGAATCCATCTTTTCAGTCTTTTAGGCTTCCCAAATAGTTGGTAAATGCAACTATTTGGAACAGCAGACAAACAAGCAAACAAAAACTATATAATTTCTAATGATAATCAAAACTCAACATGAATAAACACAACTCCTAAAACAACAACAAAGCAAGGTACTAACCCTTGCTGGATTAGATAATATTCATCCCATTACATATCTTGAAAGTAATTAACTGTGATTTCTTTTGAGTTCTTCATTGGAAATAGGAAACAGTGTATTGAATGGAGACAGTCATAAAATGGCATTTTCTGGAACATTTTAAAACCAGACCGTAATGTTTTAATGGGTTAAAAAAAAAAGGGGGGGGGGGGGGATTAATACACAACTCTTTGCAAAGAAATGGACAAAAAAAAAAATTAAACGGTAAAAAAAAAAAGGGGGGGGGGGGGGGAGCTTTTAACAACAAAAAAAAATAATTGGGAGGGAATTTAGGTTTTTAGGAATTTAGGAACCTTTTTTGTGAAACATTTTCATTGAAAATGACTTAGCATTTTGATATGAAGTGGGTCAAATCTGGCAAGGTCCGAGTTGCCATTTGCAAAGTCATAGCTGTGCCAGACGGCTAAGCAAATCTGTAGGTTGAAGAATTAATGATCAACAATCTATGTTCAATTATCTGACTCTCGCAGTTGAAAAAACAGCTTCAGAGAGGATCATATATAAATACGCGGTCATCAGGCTGGCTCCATGTTTTATGTCCCTGCTGTTGCAGCAACACTTGTTTGGAAGTCAATGGGAAAGGCAAACTCAAGATGACTGTATGTGTTGCAATAACCTCTGCTTTCTCAGAGAAACATACATTTAGTCTTCTCAGTAGACTCCTAACTCAAGCCTTATTATGAAATAATTTAAATATGAGCTCTATTTAGTATTGCAGGGCTGACAAAACCACATTAAGGAGGAAAAG